GTACCTATGCAGTCCTCATTCTATGAAATCCGATTTCAAAGGGTTAAGGAAGAGAAAACTGCAGTCAACTGTACGTTGCGCAATAATCCACAATAACACGGAATATTGTGGAACTCTTTCCCTCACAATATTGCGAAATATTGTAAGCATCCTCAATCATTGTTTCGAATCAATGACCACAATCGCTTACAATAATGTAGATTATCCTAGAATAAACATCACGATGCGGGATATTGTGGTAAATTTTTCCAGCACATATTCACTATTTCCCACAATATTGCAGCAAAACTCACAAAAAAGTGGATCATAGTGGAAAAAATTTTCTTTTATTTCGTACTATGTCCCACTTTTTTGCGTTTTTTTTCACTTTATCTCGCAATTATTTTTTACAGTGTATAAACAGTCTGACAACAAATGCGATTTCTAGAAAGATCCAGGCATCTTAATTATTAGTCTTCGTGGTGTCTTATGTTGACGTTTTATGTGAGACTACGATTAAAAACCAAAAGCAGCGACACCTGAAACTCACTAAGATGAATAAAGGTTCTTTTTTACAATTTACTTGCTCTACAAGCTGAACTTGACAATCGCTGCTACTTCTTCTGAACTGAATACACAAATCCGCGTCTTCAATAAAACTTCGCGAAAGATATGCAAAAACTAAGAGACCTTTCGGAAAAAGCCAACGTAATTGTTATCAGAGCTGCGACAAAACAGAAAAATAAGGGTGATACAGCGATTTTCTTTTTTTTCTTTTTTCTTTTCTATTTTCTTTTCTTATTCACGTTATATATAGTGTGTGCTCACGTTGCAATGTACGGTACACATATATAACATACATTAAGACTGTTGTCTGTGTAAAATGATGTCACGTTTCCTTCTTTTCCTTAGTGTGTACGCAGATCCGCGTTTTCAATAAAACTTCGTGATAAGATACGCAAAAACTAAGAGACCTTTCGGAAAAAGCCAACGTAATTGCTATTACATTATGTCAACAAGAAGAATAAAGCAATGTATTTGTGTTTTGTGCGTCATGGAAGTGAAAGAAAAGAAAACAAAGAATCATGAAAGGGAAATAAACACCCTTTGTACTTGTTCGTTATAAAGAATAATTCCCACTTGAAACAGAATATTATTCTCTTGGCTTTTTCCGATGATGTTTGGAAAAAAGCCCATTTATTTAGAATACTTATGTTACAAACATTGAAAATTATTTACTTGCTTAAGGGGAAACTAAACTTGAAGTCAAACGTACAGTACAAAATAATGATGTATAAAACATTTGAAAACTATATGATGTGATCGAAAATTGCTTTTATTTGTTGTGAAACTCAATCATAAAATAAAGGAAGGAGTATAAGATTAATAGCGCGGTTTACTGTCGACTACAAGACACCTCTATACTACTGGTATGTACTGATACTTAGGCAAATGGTGACATATTCCATTTTAGCATATTTCGTTTCAGAAGATGTAGCGCTTCTAGTTGTGAGACATGTTGCAAAAGCATCCTACAACAGATACTGTAACTTCAGTTGATTCACAAGAAAAGTTAAGGATAGGCAATACAAAATGGATATTAAAACATCGAGTAAGAGATAGAATAAAACTCATTCTAAGTTTTAATTTCTTTTCTACACCTACAGTTCGAATCAGGCAGAAGTAGTGATCGACTCAAATTTTAACATGAAATATCATCTATACCGTTTTTTCGATTGAAATTACGTACATGTTGAATTTGTTTTGACTGCGAGAAAGAAGGAACAAAGAGAAAATAGTAATGTTTTTTTAATAAAAAGATTTCTTTACTTTTCTCTGTCTCTTCTATTTTTCAAAAAAAGATTTTAGCTTCCAAATTTTAATCCTTTAGCATCACTCTTTGGTTTTTAAGGAAAAGATGAAAGAAATTGGTTTCATTTTAAGGTTTGTCCAAAATAGGTAAAGTAACAACAGGAAATCAAGAAACTGTAAGTATGTAGTCCTTTGAATAGAGTAAGGGTATTTCAAGTTGAACTCTGGTTGTAATGATTTTGAGATTCTTATTGTAACCGAGATAAGAACAAAAAGCTCAGCAACTTGTGGATGGAATCGATTTCTTGTCAACTTGTAATAAGAAACACAAGGGAAAACAATAATTTGTGGTATAAACTTGAGATAAGCTTTGAAGCTTCATGCAAAGCTTGTCTTGACGTGAAATAATTTAAAGTCTTTCAAAGAAATGTCTATGATTCAACAGCAGAACGACGGAAAAAATTATAAGTGGAATTTAACGCTGGAAAAGCAACAGAAATGAATTTTGAGAAAGACGCTGTTGTTGTCTCAAGTTTCAAAACAGGTTTAAAAGTATATTTTCGTTTTTGAATAACTGACTCAAAACATTGGTTATTCTGTAGCTTGCATCTGTTTACAAACAGAGGAAAATAATGGAATGAATAAATTAACAATACAAAATGAATATTAGTACATCAAGTAACAGATAGATCAAAACTCATTCTAAGTTTTAATGCCTTTTCTATGCCTACAGTTCGAAGCAGTGATAGACTCAAATTTTAACATGAAAATATCGTCTGTGCCGTTTTTCATACTATCCCCTAACAAACACAATTAGTTATACAACTTTTTTCACCAAAACAAGCGATTTTATAACAACAAAAATTTCCTGTCTCGTCCGTTTTGATTTGACCGAAGGAATAAAAAATCTCATAGAACATTTTCATGTCAAACAACAAAAGCTGATCTGTAAAATTACCATCAATGAGGTATAGCTCTGCTGTGATACCAAAAATTTTCAGACAAACTTTTGTGTTGCGAACAGAAACAGTGCTTTGGGTTTTGATTTTTCTAAATCTTGACTGGTTATATCTATGATACTGACAGAATAAGGCTTATGTAAAAAAAATAAACATAACAAACATGCCAAAAAAATTACTACTGATAACATCGAGTATCTGCAATGAATAAACTGCATGCAGAGATTGGTTTTATATTTATTCAAGCTGGAGTATTTTCAGGATTATCTTAGCGAAATTATGTGTTTCAGGAGAATGAAATTGATTGTCCAGACAACTATTTCTTCTCATTACTAGAGCTATTTAAATGTAAAGATCGCCAATGAGTTCAAGTGAAAATTCAAATCTCAAGATTTTTTCAAGCGAATAGTGCGATTGCTATACGTTTCACCTATATGTTTTCTGAATTTTTACATAACACAACTCGCACAAGACGTGAGAGTGAGCCATCTGTTAACATATTTTGAGAGAAACGATATCTGTTTAGGTTGAGAATTGATAAGGGATAAGAAACTTCTTGCCTTGTACGCCAGGTTGAAGTCGATTCTTCACTCATTTGATCAATGATTTTGTATAGAGACAAAACGTCTCTTATTAGAAAATAGTTTGTTTCATAATGAAAAAGGTGGATTATCTTTTATTGTCAATAAAGAAAAAGAAGCTTTGTTGTGTCTATGAACATGTGAGTGGTAGAGTGTTGATTAAAAAAGCGCTAGTACGCATAAAATAGCCGGCAAGCGCTATTTCTTTATGGCTACAGGTTTGTCATCTCAAAAACTCCGTATCAACTTTTACAGAATTACTTTTTTTGTGCAGATTCGCTTAGTAAGCGCGTCAATAGGATCGTGGAAAGAGAAAAAACCAGTGGAAGTATACATTTTTGGGAGAAAGGTGAAAACGGTTTTAATACTGCAAAAATTTTGAGCAGGAGAAAGTACTAAATCCAAAAATCAGGAGGGACATACATTCCCTTACAGCCCGCTATCGCCACTGCCCTGCGCGTTAGGTTGACAAAAAGGCACCAATGAGAAAAATAAAATTTAGGCAAAAACCACGTAGATTATGTTGACACCAGAAAAGAAGTTAAAATAGAATTAAAAGGTACCCGCTGTCGGATTCACCGAGGAATTTTGCACCTAGCGCCCAATTTTTATCTAATTTGGTGCAGCGTGGCAAAAGTACCTAATTTTCTAACCAGTAGTTATTATCGTATGCGCTTGCGAAGAGATAGTTTTTTTGTTTATATTTCATTGATTTATTTATAGTAAATTTTTTCTAATTTACAATCGTCTCAACTACAAGGCAACTGCTTTCTTTATCTCAATCCTCTAGAGTGGATGGTAGCATTACAGCTGGAATTTTTTAGACAAACATTTTTCTCTATATATCGAAATAAATTCTTATATTAAACTTTAAATTCTAAATCGATTACTTTTTGATTACCAATACCAGTGAAACATAAATTCCAATCTGTTTGTAGATTAGTTTTATTGTATTTCGTATGAAATTCAATATCTAAGTTAATGGAAAATGGTTCCAAAGCTATTGCTGTAAAACGATAAGGCGCTGAATTTAGTACACATGTTTGTGTATCACTTGAAGAGCTTTGCGGAGCTGTATTAATTGTAATTTGTTTAATAAAATTCCCAATATTCACCTCATTCTCATCGTCCGCAAATCGAATAAACAAAGTCCATCGATGAAAGTTGATCTGCTCACTATTAATGGCTGATATGTGATGATTTCCAATTAAGAGTTTCTTCATAACACTTATTTTACGTTCGCTTTCTTGGCGACCTTGTTCAATTTCTAATTTTCTTTCTATATATTCATTTTCATAGCGGGTTTCTAAGAAATTTTTTAATATTGAGTTGATCTGTATGGTACAATTTTGAAGATAAGACAAGTTCTCACGGCACATGGGACAGTACATTTGTGTTTCGTTTGATTGTAAAAATTGTTTTAAGCAAGGCAAGCAGTAAGTATGACCGCATAATGTTGTTACTGGTTCAATGAAAAGTCTTAAACATATAGGACACTGACATTGTTCATCAAACATTTCATAGACTTTCGTTACTTTCACATTTTGCTCAGTACTATCTGCTGAACCAGTTAATTTAACAGTTGAAGCCATATTATGGTAATCTAGAATTAGGGGAGAAATCAAGCACGACTCTGACCAACAAGCATGTCTTCAGAGTTAACAGTATAGAGTGAAAAATCTAATGTAATATCAGATAGTTACTGTGTAGAAAATATTATTTATAAATAATGTATAATTCGTGAGCTACACTCACTCATCATTCAGTGTGATACGTCTCCTTTTCTATTCTTATCACTGATGACTCAAGTGACATATGGAACAAAGATGAGAGCTCTTCTTACATTTAGAAATTGTGTAATGCAAGGTTAACAGGTTTCTCCCCTCTACTCTAAGATAATTTATGAAGTAATATATTAATTTCAATTTGAGCTCTATAACAACAGAAAGTGAGAATATTATATAGATATAATTCCCGTTTGTATCCATTCGAAAATGGGTACTCTACATACGAAACTAGCTCAACGCGCGCAGCGTCAAGGGTATAGCTGTTTGATATAAGCGTTATTCTGTCACAATACAAGCGGAAAAATATTTCATTAGAGTATTCTAAACTAAAACTATCAAAAAACACAAAATCGATTTTGTGCGAATAGAGATTCAAACACATGAACTTAACTTTGCAGTAAACTGCAAAACCACATCTACTGTTCTGTTTCTATATTCTGTACAAAGATCACCGTTATACAGTCGACTCGATATTACCAGTAGTAATTTTTTTGATATCTTTTTTGTGTTCTGTTTTTGTTATAGGCTTTATTCTGTCGGTATATCTGTTTTAAAACGCAAACTAAATTTTTATTGAATGTAGAGTAGGTATACTGGGAGAACTATTCTGTTTCTATCCATCGACTCCTCTAGCCCTATCTTGAGTGTTTGTTCGCGTCCGTCTGTCGAGTTTTTTCTGTCTGTTACCGTGTCAGAAGAATTTCTCGTCCATGCATCTATATTATTTTGTTCTTTCTATGGTTTGCCTTTCGTTCGCCAACAATTCACATCTTCAAATATCTTTCTTTGCTGCTCAAAAGAATTTAATTAATCCATGTCCGTAAAACATAGCGACTACTCATTCGTGCCCCTCCACGATTTTGCCGACACTTTCCATATTCGTGTAGCTTTAGAAAAGCTTGTCACCGTTGCTTCTGTGAAGTAAAAATGTGAAAACTTCCAAGTGAACTTCGTGCACCTACCGAGAATATATGTAGTTGTAAACCCCAAATTAAGATGTAAACAAAATGGGATTTTAAATTGCCTCAACTCGTACCTAAACTTTATATTTCAAACTTCCATTTCCTTCGGAAATCGAACATGTCCGATTTCGATACAAGCTCCGCGCAGGATGAAACTTAATGGAACTGTTAGTTGATAGGACAAGATATTTGCCTTGATGTCCTGCATATATCATCTTAAAGGTGATATATGCACGATATCGAGGTAAATCCGGACAGAGGACTTGTTTTAATATCATTCTGAGTTTCTCAAGGGGTCAGGGCTGGGCAACTCCGCTGACTTTCAACTCCAACTCCGTTTTCAAATTTCCGACTCCAACTCCGCTCAAAGTTTTTCAACCCCAACTCCAACTCCAACTCTCTCGAAAAAAATCCCAACCCCCGTTCAACTCTGGTTGCTTCACTTTGTAAGGAAGATTCTTCGGTTTTTAGCAGGGTTGTGGACGTTTTTGAGCTTTTTCCGGCAGGAAAGCCCAAGGAACTTCCGAATTCACTCGTGAATATAGCCACTCAATCGTTTAGAAGATCAGTTTACAACCATTGAATATTTCCAAAAATGCAAAATGCTGAGAATAAAAATTCGAAAACCCAACTTCAACTTACTGAAATCTCAACTCCGACTCCACCAAAAAATCCTCAACTCCGGGGTTGGAGTTGCCCAGCCCTGCAAGGGGTAGACACATTCTCTGGGACAATTTTCAAAAAACTTTTTCGTGTGGAAGCTTTCATTGAGTGTATAGTTGAATTTCATTCAAGAGTTCACCATTTTCAAAAGAAATGAACTAATTCGCAAGTCGGTACCACACCTCGATTCGTCTCTAATTCAGTGTTAAAAAGCTTAGAAAAGTCGAAACCATAAGGAGCTTTTGTATTTCCCACACAAGATTTTCTCTGAAAATTTTTCGCTATCACGGCACAACAATACCTCATTGATGGTGATTTGACACGTAAGCTTTTGTTGTTTGACATCAAAATGTTCTATGAGATTTTTTATTCCTTGGGTCAAATCAAAACGGACGAGACAGGAAATTTTTGTTGTTAAAAAATCGCTTGTTTTGGTGAAAAAAGTTGTATAACTAATTGTGTTTGTTAGGGGATAGTATGAAAAACGGCACAGACGATATTTTCATGTTAAAATTTGATTCGAACTGTAGAAAAGAAATTAAACCTTAGAAAGCGTTTTAATCTATCTGTAACTCGCTGTTCTAATATGCATTTTGTGTCATCTATATAGACCACAAAAATGTGGGGAAGAAAACGGGGAAGAAGAAAAAGGAAAAAAGATGACCGAGCAGAAAGAATCGTCCGATTCGCCTTAAAATTCTGCATATATCACCTCAGTTTCATCCAGTTTTGTGCAGCGCAAAACTTGCACGTAATTTTCTAATGATCTCCACATTGGAGAGATCTACGACGCTTATTAGTGTAGCCAGGTTGCCCTTCAAGGTGATACCTTGACGAAAAATCTTTGATTGTACCGTGGAGTCCGCAACGAGTTTTCTTAATTCCAATCGACCCACAAAAACG